AGAAATAAATGAAATTGAAACTAAAAAAACAATCCAAAAGATCAATGAAACCAAGAGCTGGTTCTTTGAAAAAATAAATAAAATAGACAAACCCCTAGCCAGGCTCACAAAGGAAAAAAGGGAGAAAGCACAAATACACAGAATCATAAATGAAAGAGGAGAAATCACAACGGACACAGCAGAAATCAAAAGAATAATCAGTAACTACTATGAACAGTTATATGGAAACAAGTTCAACAATCTAGAGGAGATGGACAAATTCCTACAACTCTACAATCACCCAAAGCTAGATAAAGAAGAAATAGAACACCTAAACAGACCAATTACAAGCAGCGAAATTGAAATGGTAATTAAAAACCTCCCCAAAAACAAAAGCCCAGGACCTGATGGATTTACAAATGAATTCTACCAAACATTCAGAGACGAATTAGTGCCTATCCTTCACAAACTCTTCCAAAAAATTGAGAAGGAAGGGACAATACCAAACACGTTCTATGAAGCCAATATTACACTAATACCAAAACCGAATAAGGACAACACAAAAAAGGAAAACTATAGGCCAATCTCCCTAATGAACACTGATGCAAAAATCCTCAATAAAATTTTAGCCATCAGAATCCAACAATGTATCCATAAGATAATTCACCACGACCAAGTTGGATTCATTCCAGGGGCACAAGGATGGTTTAACATCCGAAAATCAATCAACGTTATCCAACACATCAACAAAAAGAAATATAAAAACCATATGATAATATCAATAGATGCTGAGAAAGCTTTTGACAAAGTGCAACACCCATTCATGATAAAAGCCCTTGAAATTCTTGGGATACAAGGAACATACCTCAACATCATAAAGGCCATCTATGACAAGCCAACAGCCAGTATCATTCTCAATGGTGAAAAGCTGAAAGCAATTCCATTAAGATCTGGAACAAGACAAGGATGTCCACTCTCACCACTGCTTTTCAATATAATACTGGAAGTCCTAGCCAGAGCAATAAGACAAGAGAAAGACATCCAAGGAATCCAAATAGGAAAAGAAGAAGTCAAACTATCACTATTTGCAGATGATATGATAATATACATAGAGAACCCCAAAATCTCCACAGAAAAACTAATTCAACTCATCAATCAATTCAGTAAAGTGGCAGGATACAAAATCAACACGCAAAAGTCAGTAGCCTTCCTATACACAAACAATAAATCTGAAGAAGAAGAAATCAAAAAAACCACCCCTTATTATCGAAACAAAAAAAAATCAAATATTTGGGAATAAATCTAACAAAAGAGGTAAAGGACCTATACAAAGAAAACTATAAAACACTGTTAAAAGAAATAGAGAAGACACAAAGAAATGGAAAGACATCCCCTGCTCATGGATTGGAAGAATAAACATTATTAAAATGGCCATCCTACCAAAAGCAATATACAGATTCAATGCTATTCCAATCAAAATCTCAATGGCATTCTTCAAAGAAATAGAACAATTATTGATGAAATTCATATGGAATCACCAAAAACCCCGAATAGCCAAAGCTCTACTGAAAAAAAAAAGAAGGAAATGGAGGCATCACACTCCCAGACTTCAAGCTATACTACAAAGCCATAATCATCAAAACTGCATGGTATTGGAACAAGAACAGACATACAGACCAATGGAATCGAATAGAAAATCCAGAAATAAACCACAGATTTATGGTCAACTAATCTTTGACAAAGGAGCAAAGACTATGCATTGGAGCAAAGAAAGTTTGTTCAATAAATGGTGCTGGGAAAACTGGGTCGCTACATGCAAAAGAATGAAGCTTGACCACTACCTCACACCATACACAAAAATCAACTCTAAATGGATTAAAGAACTAGACATAAGACCTGAAACCATAAAATACATAGAAGGAAATATAGGCGAAACACTATGGGATTTGCACATCAAAGACATCTTTACAGACACATCACCCAAAGCAGTGATAGTGAAGAGAAAGATAAACAGCTGGGACTACATCAAATTAAAGAGCTTCTGCACAGCAAAAGAGACAATAACAAAAACAAAGAGAAACCCCACCAACTGGGAGAACATTTTTGCACCCAACACTAATGATAAAGGACTGATCACAAAAATCTGCAAAGAGCTGATGAGACTCAGCAACAACAAAGAAAATAATCCAGTCAAAAAATGGGCAGAAGAGCTAAAAAGAAACTTCTCTGAAGAGGAAATGCAAATGGCCAACAGACATATGAAAAAATGTTCAACATCACTTGTAATCAGGGAAATGCAAATCAAAACTACCATGAGATACCATCTCACACCAGTGAGAATGGCACATATTAAAAAAACTAGCAACAACAAATGTTGGCGAGGATGTGGAGAAAAAGGAACTCTTGTGCACTGTTGGTGGGAGTGCAAACTGGTCCAACCACTATGGAGAGCTGTGTGGAGATTTCTGGACCTACTAAACATAGAGCTTCCATATGATCCAGCAATTCCACTCCTAGGTATTTACCCAAAGGACACAGAAACATCAATTCCAAAGAGCACCTGCACTCCTATGTTTATAGCAGCACTGTTTACAATAGCTAAGCTTTGGAAACAACCCAAATGCCCAAAAATAGATGACTGGATCAAGAAGATGTGGTACATATATACCATGGAATATTACTCAGCATTCAAAAAAGATAAACACATGCAATTTGCAGCAACATGGATGGCACTGGAAGGGATCATGCTCAGCGAAATAAGCCAAAAAGAAAAAGAAAAATACCGGATGGTCTCACTCATAGCAGGAATCTAGAAAACTTAAATAAGGGACCAGGAAAATGAATATAAGAAAGTGAAAATCAAAATCAACAAAAACTATGAACCAGAGACACTTTTTGGGGGTGGGGGGGGCGGGAGGGGAAGGATTGGGGTCAGAATGGGGCGTTTGCAATTGTATGGGGGAATATAAAAATAAAATTTAATATTTAAAAAAAAAAAAAAATAAAACAATGACAAATTATATTCTTAAAACATGATGCGTCAAAAATAAGTCTGTTGGTGAATTCAAAATCCTATTATTTAAATGCATGTGAAGAGACTCTGCTGAAGCCCAAATTGAGCTAGAAAACCAGCTACCACCCCTTTTCTAAAAATGTAGGAAAGAGGGAATCTATTAAAAGGTAGTGTCTAGGGACTGTTCTGGATTATTAACATTGCTACTTAACTGGGGTTTAAGAAGTTTCTTTGGAATTTGAAATCCATAATACAGAAAGGAATCTAATCTTTCCATGGAAATTCAGTGTTGCCCCTATAATCAGTAATCATTTATACACTTTCAAAGTACAGAATCGTTTAATTGAATAGAATTGGAGCTGGAAAGTAAAGGGACCATCTAATTTAACCTTATTTTATAATTAGGAAAATGAACATCAGAGGAGACACACAATCATTTAGTGGTAAAGTCTGATGCATTTGAAGTTCACTCCTGTTGCCTCTCACTGTGGAAATATGATTTCAGTGTTTGGTTAACTTCTAGTTATGTCCTTGATAGTTCTCCTTTCATCCAAGTAGAAAACTGAATTCTCCTCTCACACTTCACCGTAGAGTCCAATCTCATTAACCTCAGTGAGACAGGAGAGAGTAGGAGGGCTTGAGAGCTTGTCCCAGTCCTGCCTACTTAGATGGGCAGATGCTAGAGGAAAGTTGAATTGAACAGGCAGAACACAGCATTTAGCTTGCATGCCAACCTCCCTGTGGCAGAAATTCAGGAAACCTGTGAGAATCAGCAAAGGCCAGCCCAGAATTACACAAGGATTCTGAAAGGCAGATGGAATGCGGTGATGGTGATGCAGGAGTTGGCAATACTTAATCGGTCTATTGATGATTTTCCAAACACACCAATCATTTACTCATCTCCATGCCTCCAACATCCTGTTCTTTCTGCCTGAGGTATCTGTAAGTTTCCAATGAATTGAAGTCTTGTAATTTGACTCTTAATTTGAATGAGCTATCAAAGTAGATCATTACACTCTACAAGTAACAGAAAATGTGTCAATGGCATGAGAAAGGATTAGGCAATAGTAATGGCATCGAGCTGTTCAAGTGCTTAACACTTTGTTAAGCTTGTCTACTCTTGTCCTTTTACTCATGCTCACAAAATGGCTGCTCCAGCTCCTTGTACCTTATCTGCATTTAGAGGGAAAGAACCATGAAAAAGTTACAAGTCTTATCTTTTCTCTTAAATCAGCCAATCAAAGGGTTTCTCAGAAATCTCTGTCCCCCAAAGAATTACACTCATTTCTCACTGGTCAGAACTACAGGGAAGTAATTTTGAGAAGTAAGTAGGTGTGTTTTCTACCTCTATGGTAGAAGGCAAAGAATAGTGTGTTTAAGAATGGTTGAGTTAATCTACAGTGAACTTGTGGCTTTTTGCAAACTAGAAAACTGCTAACAATGGTGGGGTAAGGTCATTCCTAAGACAAAAGATCTTTTTATAACAAGAATAATCAACTGGATGATGACCTCACTAATTAACTTGGATATTTGTACAGGAATATTGTATCAAGTGCAAACTTAGACTAAAGTACTTTATTTACCCTGCTTGTTGAATGAATGCTTGATATGCACATAGCGTTTTGTGTGGGAAGTATTCACACCTATTATCCTATTTCATCCTTATAGGAATCTCCTGATATCAAAATTATTATCTCAGTAAGTGTTTGGATGACTTGCAGCAGATCAAGCAATTAGTACAAACTGAGACTTGGGTCCACATTTAGCAAAATTTTTTTTATTGAATTAATATTGGTTTATGACATTGTTTCCACAGTAGAAATGTAGGATCCTCCCATTTCAGGAATTTTTGATATCCATTATATTTGTTGAAGAGAATGTTTTCAAAAGAAGTGCAACAGAAAGATTATTGCAAATATAAATACTGAATAAATAACTTGTCTAAGTATAGAGTGTTTTTGATTTATTTGATCGAGTGACATCTTTTTTTTTTTCTTCCCTTTTCCAGAGAACCTCAGCCAGCAAGTCTTCAGGTGCTCCTTCCTATAGCAGATGGTCTAGTTCACAGCCACATCAGGTAAGATGCTCTTTTGAAGAAACTTGACATACTTGTTTTCCTTGAAGTGAAGTGTGCTTCAACTTACAATTATTTTGTCACTGGACAAATGTGTAAAGTATTGGTTTCTTGTCTGGTCTCACCTCGAAGGTGGCACCTCTTGACAAAGGTTTGTGCAGTTTTTCATTGTTTCTTTTTCCCATCTATAGTTTTGGGTCAGAGTTTTGGGTCAAGGGGGAAATGACTGGAAAATGCTGAACTTCCACCCTCAAAACCATTTTTAGTGGTCAGCTGATGAAATCAATTTAGTGATTACTGGAAGTGAATTTTGCCTTATTTTTTTTTTTCATTCAACCAAAGATTATCCCATCTGTCCTTTTATTCCAGGAGATAGTGTCTACTCTCATACGTATGTATATGTGCACATGTGTGTATGGCACACGGTGTCTACCATCTGCGTGTGCACACGAGTGTATCAGACAACATGGTACGATGGACCACTTTCTTCTGTTCTTTGTGTCTGCTTACAAAAGGTGATTAACAACCTCTCTTCAGGTCAAATAATACAGAACATTATTTAACCTCTTTAGGGTGACTTAAGCCAGCAGAGTGCTGTTATGTCGCTGTGTATAAACAAAACAGAATCTTTTCTGATGGTGTTAGTTTTACAGGTGACACACTGTGACCACATGGGCTTCTTTTTGAAGCAGCTTATGATGACAACACTGACTTTGGACTCTAAAACCTGGGTAGGACTTGCATTCAAATTTCTTGCTAGTTATGAGACCAAGAAGAAATAAACTATTGGTCTTTTGCTTTATTGGTCAAATTCTCTCTTCATAGATTTTTCTGGGCATGTGGGCTGATGGCAATGATGACAAGAGAAGCACATTATAAATGGTTTGTACTCACATTGTTCCCCATGGGTGATAATTTGCTCCAATTTCATCATGTGGGAACTCTTACCATAAGCTCCCTTTTAATTCACTTTCCTTGACACTGATCACTAAAACGATACCAAAAAAAAAAAAAAAAGCTACGAGAGAAATAAATTCTCCCACTATGCTATATTTTATCACAATGCCTACTTTCAGATTGAGTTGGTTGGGGTAAAAATTGAGGTGTTGGCTCTGGCTCCATGGGCATCATCTTTGGGTGGATACTCTGGTTTCTGGTATCTTTGGAAGGACATATTGCTTTGTGAATGTGAGCTGGAAAAAAGAGGTGGCGTAGAAAGAGGGACAATGATACTTGTCAAGGGAGATTACTTTGAATATTCAGATTCCCTGTCCTTCCTACTTAATAGGCATAATTTATTTCTGATTTCTGGTCTCAGACTGTTTAGGCACTGGTTGAATTAGTCACTACGTACACCTCCGTGCTTACTCTGGGAAGGCTTTGGAGATGTGCTGATGCATCTTCGCAGCCTAAAGAGAGTGAGATCCTGAGATTATATTGACGAGGTTTATATGTATGTAGTTGGTCTAGGATTCTATGGCTTTCTGCCCTGGACTCATTTGGTATTATTAGTCAGTAGGATCCTTTTGGGAACTTCCCAGGGAGGTCATCGAATGTAGTCATTTTTTCACTCTGCTGGTCCTAGAAAACTCTTCATGTGCTGCAGTGTGATCACACAAATAACTATAGGGTAATATTTGGGACAGTGGAATGCTGAGAAGAAGTCCTTTTAGTTTTCTGATGTTACAGTGACCTATTTTATGAATAGATGGTATTTGAATTAATTTTTTAATATCCTAGGCAAATTAAAATGGTGACCATCCTTTACAATGTCCCAATTTTCTATTTCTTGAATTCTTCTATGTAAATGAAATCCACATGCAGAAGAGCTACTGAAGATGGGTTTCATTTTTGCTTTTTCATTCACTGACAGGAATCTGGTTATGTGGGAGACTTTAATATTAGCAGAGCCTTTTTGACTGGGGGACATAATTGAATGGTATTTCCAAATATTGCTATGATAAAAACTAATATTGCTGACATGTCTTTAGTGTTGAGGAGTTCTTTTAACTCTGAGAGGAGTAGCACATTCTTTATAGCCTGTGTGGTTTCCTTGGCAAATGCCTGCTGCATTGGTCACTTGCCCATTTGCCTTTAGACGCATCTTGTGTTCACCCCTTGACAATGACTTTTATGGGGTCCCATTGCTAACTGACTACTGTAGATTCTCCCATATGGGAGGTGTTGTTGTTAGACTGGAAAGGGATAGGGTGGGGAGAAAAATACCACCAGGATATATTTGTCATTCCCTACTTGCGTTGGGCTGTAGTTCTTTACGAGTCTGAACCTCTGTTTGAATACAGTTACATAAGGCAGTTCTGGCTTCTAACTCTAGGCACAGTTCACCTTTCCCCCAGCCTTAAGGGAGCCAGAAGCTTCCCTCCTTGCTCACTATTTGGGTTTTAGCTCTTCCAGTAACCTTATGGCTAGTTCCCTATATTAAGTTCCTTCTCTTAGACTGTGTGGTGTGGGCTCTGTATTTCCAAGAGTTTTTCCAATTATCTTCTGACTGATACACCTACCATGGTATAATGAACTTCATTCTTTTGTTTCAATAACAATGGCTTTTAACTTTAGAAATATTATGTGAATATTTACAAGATCCATAGCTTTGCAGCTGCTGAAAACGCTGAGATTTATTCTCTTGAGCTGGCCTAGTGGGTGGTAATCCTTTTACACCCCGTATCCCACACAGAATAATAATTCCTCTTCTTTGTTACTCATGCTTTAATCCTTCCCTTTTAAATTTGTGTTTATTACAAAAACCTTTGTCTTTTGTGTTTGCAATCTGATAGGCTTATTGGCTTCCGTCTTTGAAAGTACCTACACAAATTCTCAGCCTGAGGTTGAAAGCCCAATTGTAGCTCAACCCTGGATTCCGGCTTTGTGTCTTCCTTTGATATTTGGCAGTGACAGAACATTTAGAAAAAAACGGTTATGAATTTATACTTACTAAGAGTCTGAGCGGATCTCATCCTGCTTGGTTTCAGATAAATTTGCAAACAGATGGATACATATGTAGTTATAGTAAATCAGTACACAGGTAGATACCCACTCATTTGAGAATATTGCTGGCTTTCCTTCAACATCACCTCCACACTTTACATTAATTGAAAATTTGTTATGCAGTATACCTAACTTCTGTGCATGCACTTCCTAGATTTAACCCCCTCAATATCTCTATGATAGGAAATGATGTTTCACAGATGAGGGAACTGATAACCTACATGATTTGTTAAGTTGTCCATTATCATGGGGCTAGTTCTGTCAGATTCTAGCACACCCTAGTCTTTTAACCAGTGGGCAGTCATGCCTCTCTGAAGTCTTTTTCTTTTTCCTCTAAAGTGTTTAAGCTAGTTGAAGATCACTGAGATACTCTCAAACAAACTGACCAGGACACAACTATTTGGCCTTTAGATTTTATTTCTACACTGAAATTGTTTCATGTGAGTAGTTTTCTTGAAAACAGGGGTCAATGTCCATTCAACCAGAGGTCAATCTATTTGCAAATAGTTAACTTTCAAAACACAGACTTTGATTTATTAATGTTATATTTCAAAATGTACCATTATTTTTTATTTATAATGTTTTGAAATATATTTATTCAAAGAAATCCCTCCCATTGCTATGTAGATTTTTTTAAAGATTTATTTATTTATTGTATTTATTTATACAAGCACTGGGTACAGTCAGAAGCATGGGAGGGTGAGAGAATTCACCAGAGCCAGAGCGGGGAGCAGAGCAGGCAGAAGGACTGAAGTACACTGCTGAGGGGAGCAGCGGGCGGCAGGAGAGGTCTGTGCGCCATGCGGGACCCTCCTCCAGTGGCAGGGGAGCAGCCGGGGATCAACAGGCTCTGCATAGGCTGCGGGCAGCTTCGCAACCCAGCGCTCAACCCCTGTGCCACCGGGGAGGCCCCCATTGCTATGTAGTTTTAAGGAATGCACATGAAAGAGTATATGCTTACAAATATCTACCAAATTAAATATCTACCAAGTCATGATGAACTGAGCTTTGCATAAAAGACACAGGCAAATAAGAAAAGTGAAACACAAAATGATAAACTGAAATTGTGACATGTTTCTTAGACAATTGTGTACTTCTCTTTAGAAAAGGTTCATAGTTCCCTCTTATATCCCCTCTCATATTCAGAAAATGCCTTATAATTTTCAAATAGTTATCTTCTTGTGGTTTAGAAATGTAAATGTTTTCCTGTGTATAGTTGGCACCAATCTAGGTATTGTGTCGTAAAATCTTCCTTGTAAAGTTTTGGTCAAAAATTCATTGATATTGTGTCTAGAATAGTCCTTGGAATTAAGAACCTTAAAATTCATTTCATTGAAAGGCAAAATCAAAGAATTAAAAAACATGGATATCATGGTTAAGCAGTGACAGTTTACTCAAGAGAATTCAACCAACTATTCCAGTGCCATGATTTTCTAGAAGTGGATAAAACTGACAACATTCAAGGTTGACAGCAGAAGTTTCAGTTATCTGGACAGATTGATTTTAAATGGGGAGGAACAGAGCACTTGATTATATTAGTGTGTTTAGAAGTAAGAGAAAGGAGAGTAGAGATAAAACACTGGTGATCATTTTTCCTGAATTATCTTCTATCTCTTTTCATACCTGCCCATGAAATTTCATGTACTCAGCACATAATGGGAGCTCAAAAATGAGTGTACTGTATGAAGTAATAGCAGGAATAGAGAGGGGAAGGGAGTGTGCTAATCCAAATTTATTTCTTTGCTCTCTTATTATTAGTTCCCACCTTCTCCTGAACTGAGACATCAAAGCTTAAAATTATAAACTAATTGACTTAAATGCATTTCACCTCATCTCTGATGTTAATTCTCCTCATAAGAATTGGTGTAGAGAAGTAGAGACTGCCAGAGGCCAGGAAAGTGCACACTGAATCATTGGTTCATCTGATGTTTTGCTTTTTTGTTACCCATTTGGGATTAATATGGTAGTTATGAGATTTACATGATAAAACACCAATG